AAATTCAATATTTACACGCCTGGCGTGTTGTGAGTTCATTTTGTGAGTGTGCTTGCTAGCAAATGCTAGGAGTTTGCTTCCAAGCAAACTTTAAGTGACAGACTCAGGTAGCCGATGGCGGATGGATAGATCACTGAATGATTCTGTGAGCAATTCCATCTGCCTTCCTGCTTGGCCTCATTTTATTTTTTTAAATCCAAAAAATTCAAGATGGACGTAGATATCGACAATATTTTCAGACCAGCCACGCCCCAGCCAGTCACGGGACCACCAAGCCACGCCCACAGAATAGGCCACGCCCACAGACCCGGCGGTTAAGACAGTGAAATCCCGCCCCTGCCTGTACGGCTGTCCAGTTTTTTTTCTTAAGGTGGCGGGCAGTTCCACGGGTTCCATTGTTCTCCCTTGTTGAGAAGGTTACCTCCTTAGTTCTAGGTTGCTTCTCTCCCTGGGTTAGTTTACCAGCCGTTGCTTCTTCTCCCTGCGCGGGGTTGGACTAGATGACCTACAAGGTATCCAGGACCCAACCCCATAGTACAATTCTTGAATAGTGATGTATATGAAAGAAAATGTCTAATAAAAAGACATATTTAACAAACAAACAAAATATATATATCCAAGAAAAGTCCTGGTTGCCCATTTTTTTGGGGTGTGAGGGGAAAGTTACCTTCGGGGCAGCCGCGATGTGGAGGAGGATGGAGACCCACCTGGGATGCTTACCTGGCTTACCTTCTCCCTACCTGCCCCAGGTACGACGCGGCCATCGACCTCTTCACGCGCTCTTGTGCCGGCTATTGCGTAGCCACTTTCATCCTGGGCATCGGCGACCGTCACAACAGCAACATCATGGTCAAGGATGATGGACAGGTAGGTGGTCCTCCTCTCCACCCCCCACTGGGCTTTCAAGGCCTCCCTCCCTCTCCCCCACTCTCTGCCCCTCTCTCTCTCTCTCTCTCTCTCTCTCATTCTCTCTCTCTCTCTCATTCTCTCTCTCATTCTCTTTCTCTCACTCACTCTCCTCATTCATTCTCTCATTCTGTCTCATTCTGTCTCATTCTCTCTCTCTCTCATTCTCTCTCTCATTCTCTTTCTCTCACTCTCTCTCATTCATTCTCTCATTCTCTCTCATTCTCTCTCTCATTCTCTCTCTTTCTCTATCTCTCATTCTGTCTCTCACTCTCTCATTCATTCTCTCATTCTCTCTCATTTTCTCTGTCTCTCATTCTGTCTCTCATTCTCTCTCTCATTCTCTCTCTTTCTCTATCTCTCATTCTGTCTCTCACTCT